CTAAATCTTTATATTTTTATTCTTGCCATGCATTTTTACATTTTGTGTTTTATAGTATAGCAACCATTACTATTTTTCCCTGTTAGCTATTAAGCCATGTCACGCTGAAAATAGATGTATCCCATACAGACCATAGTCATTTGATTGGGAGAGGTGGACGCAACATCAAATCTGTCATGTACGATACTCAGTGTCATATTCATTTTCCCGACGTAAATCGGAATAGTTTGATGGAGAAAAGCAATCAAGTGTCAATATCAGGGCATGTAGAAAATGTGGAGCGAGCCAGGCAACGTATCAGAGTAAGTGCTCAGTCTTACTTTTAGACTATTACTCATGCTTCCTTTAAGTTGGTAGGTTAATTGAGATCTGTTTTGCTTTAATCTATTTAGGATATGCTGCCAATCAGTTTTACGTTCCCTCTTCCACGATCTACTACCCCTGCTGAGGTGAATGCTTACCGAAGTAGCCAAATGCGACTACAACTTGAACAGCGCTTCGGAATTGATCTATGTTATAGGCAAGCAATCTGTTCATCTTCCCCAGGAGGCATTCCTGGCAATACCAATCTCTCTTCTAGCCACAGAATAAGATCCATTGGTAGGGAAGGTATACTTAGTCAAAACGGATGGACTGGAGCTGCAAACAACGGCTTTGGACCATCACCTGGGTGCAGCGAGAATGAGCCAGAGGTTTCTTGTCCTACGGAGCCAGTAGTGAGAGGGGACAATGTGCTGAGAGGAGTGTTGTCCCCGAGTTTGGCTGGGGCGCACCTAACGTTAACCCAGTCTTCCCAAAAAGCCGTCCTGGACCCCTTTTTTGAATATGCCCCTAGCCAAATGATGTCAGGACCAGTATCTCCATCTTCTGTGACTCTGCCCACGGCTACCGTTAAGGGACTTGTCGCTACAGCCAGACGAACGAAAGAAGCTGTGACTTATCTTCTTGACTATCACTATGGCGCATATGCAGTAAGGCGCTACTTGAATGTTTTTCCAATTTATAAAGCGTTTATATACACTTTATTAGTAAAACTAGACTTTTTACATTTGCTGGTTTATTAATAGGCACTTCACTAGGGCCTCTTACTTAAGCATAATTGTCAGTTTGCTCATATGGTATCATTAAAAATATATATATCTATCTTATCGTTGAGTCGACTATATCAATCAGACGGAATTTATTTCTTGTGCAAATTTAATGAAATGGTAAAGAATTCCAGAAACTCTCATTTTTGCTAGCACTAAAATATTTGGTATCATCATGAGCTGGCAGTTTCAGGTTATGAATGATAAGCTCTTTAACAATTTAACACATTTTTTATTTGGGTTCACTGATAAGGGTGTTGCTTCCCAGAGAAAGGATGCTTTTTATGCGTCGTAGTATTCACAGGGTAAGATTAAAAGTACAGTAGACATATTGTTATCAAAATAATATTGACAAAATAATGTAACCATATTCACAAACCATGACATTAAATATACGAAAGCCATGCTAATTAAATACAATGTATAGGTATCAGCTAAGCTTCTATGAGGTACCTATTGATCAATTCAACTTAAAACTATCACTACGAGTCTCTGACGTGTGTATTTATGCCATTATTTTCTCTGGCAGAATAATAAAAGTAAGCATTAATTTAGGGCCTTAATATTGGGTCAATAAAAAACATATAGTGGCCTCCAGAAATCGATTATAAGAGTGCATGATAGGTTTCATATATGCTTAAATGGCAACTAACTAGATATTTAGATACTTGGCCCGAATTGGCTATATCTTTTGATTTATTATCAGTGGTACTTATGGAGAAATTCTTAAGCTACAAAAATATGATTACCCGACAGCACCAAGTGGGGATTACTATAAACTAAGTTTATATACTTGAATAAATGGATATTGTTGACATTAAGAATATCGCATTTAATAGAGATAATTGTATGCTCTCCCTAGGCATACTCAGATTGGCTGCTTCTAGTAGTTACTTGCTACAAATAAGCATGAAGAATAAATATATTTTACTAAGTGGAGGAATCCTAAAAATACCCCAATGTTTGCTTCCTATCCGATTTCAGTAAAAAAAACAGCAAAGTTGTTTTGACTCAGCGGGCTTAGGATTTGGGCATGAAGCCGATTGATAAGCATGAAAGGATATGCATGATTTCATAACTAATTTTTTCAGTTATGTGCTTCCGTTTAGAAAATAGCTTGGCTTTGGCAGTTGAGTGTAATTCCGTCATGCTTATATTTTTATATATAAGTTGAGTTTCAAAACTACCAGTAAATCAGTTATATGAGATGTATTCACCCTATTCCGTTTAAGGTGATGAAGGACTGGTAGTAGAATTTTCCCACAATGATATGAATAGAGCTGAGTTTCCATTGTATTTCACAGAGCCTTGCTTTCCCAAACGTTGTTCTCATATAAGGTGGACTGCAGTTTCGAAAATTTTACTACCTGTCCCTTATCAGCTCAAACGAAATAGGGCGAATACATCTCATATAACTGATTTATTGATAGTCTCGAAATTCTACTTATATACGAAAATTAAGTACTGTATTTAATTGTTATAGCAAAAATACGTTTGCTTCTTCGACAATCCAACCAAAAAATGTGATATGGTAAGATGCCTGGCCTTCGTTGAAATTCACATCTGTCCTGTGACCCAAGGGAACTCGTGGCAAGTTAACCGAGTGTTTAACGTGTCAAGCTCAAATAGTACACTCTCACGTTTCGACTCCCGCTGGGGCTGATGATAAAACCTATGCTAGATCGAAACTACAGTCCACTCTTGATGATAGCAACTTTTGAGAAAGCAAGGCTATGTAAAATTCGATGGATTCGTCAGCTCTACTCTTATCATTGTGGGAAAATTCTACTACCAGTCCTTCATCACCTTAAACGAAATAGGGTGGATACATCTTATATTTTTATCATTTGACTTAAAACACTAGGATCTCTGATATTTACAAAACTTTTGCTTTAACCTATTTTTGCGATATTAACCTTGCATTATATTGGTATTACTATGTTCCTGAAAGTATCTCAACTCGAAGTCCTTTATTTCTCGTCCTTTTTAAACTTTTACTTACCTTCTTTGTCTGGGATTCAGTTCAATCTCGCCTGCTATATTCATTATTTATATCCATATTTAAATATATTACATGCTCGTTTTTTAATGCTTCATCTATTTTAATTTGCCAAACTTTTGTCCATACCTTAGGCTTATAATCTTTATGGCATTGATATACTTCTTTACGTGTATCATGGCTACTTCTATTCTCTTATTCCCAATCTTATTGCATCCGTTTGGCTCTATTGCTTGATTTACTCACTATTAAAATTCTGGATTAATTATTCCATTTGACATTATTTAAATTTGATATCTGTCTATGAAAAAAGAATCATGCATGCTGGCCCTTACTTTGGCTTTCCACCTGTTTTTGAGACTTTTGGTCTAGTGCTATTTAATTATTGGGCCTAAACTGGCTCGAAAATTTCTTTTTTACCTTAGGTAAATTTTAAATAATTGTTTCATCGTCAATCCTAAATGATCATTTTCCTTTAAATGGCACTACATCATGCATGGATGGCCCTGTACATCGGTATGACTTTAATCTCACTCAGAGGCTTTAACATCCTACAAAGGTAACATCAAATATCTGCTTATAAGGCTTTTTTTTGACGAAAGCCCCAGATCAAAAGTATACGTATGACAGCCTAACCGTTGAACGTAGCCTCGTAATAGTTTATTTCCTTAGCTATCCGGAGCCTCCCTTCCGATGAAGTATACTATTTTAGACTAAAATTCGCGTTAGATTGATTACAATTCTGCCCACGGTAAGTTAAATTTAACTATAGTTTGAATTCCCTATTCGACGAGGCTTATTAAAGTTTATGCTTGCTATTAATTTGAAGTGAAAAATTTTTTGTTGCAAGCATTTTTTGTTATTTTACTCTTTAAATATTTACCTGTTTGACCAGGAAATGACAAGGCTGTATCTAGATTTAGGTTACCGAGTGCAACTATTTTATGTTTGTGCCCAAGTTTGATGAGCATATCAAGAATCGCAATCCACTCCTGCTTATTGAGACAGGGTGACTTGAACCATTCTTACGAATCGTTATTATGTCACGCCTTTCAATGATGCTTCTCCACGACTCGAAATCAGACTCGATACTGAAATTACAGGCTTGCGAATAGCATGCTTCTGGTTCTTAGGACTCAATACATGGCCTCTTTAAGGAACATATTTAAATTAACAGGTTTCTCTTTTATGACAAAATATCCATAGGTTTTGTATATGAATAAAGTCACCCTAGATAGTTTAAGTTGATATCAGGACTTATTATTAAATTTCCTCTAATGAAATAAATAGGGTTTAAGATGCAATTAAATGCCTCATATAAGGCTTCGTTCGATTAGGGTTTAATTTAGTTCCCAGTCGCCAGTAACCCTACCGTAATTCCTGACCTAATCATACATACCAAGTAGCAACGTTCAATGTCACTCAGAGACGAGTTCCAGTGGGTCACAGGGCAAATGACCGTTGGAGCGCTGATGAAACCCATGCAAGATAAAAGCAACATTAAACTCAGGACTAATAATCCTTTGTGGGTTAGGTCATATAAAACTCAATGTCATCATGAGAAATATTCATTTTTTTGTGGCAAATTTAACTATCAGTCCTAACCTGACTCTAACAAACCTAGCGTGACTGAAGTTTTCATTCAACCCTTTCATGTCTATTTTGAGGCCTACCTGTTTTGAATAGGTCATATTTTGAAAAATTGCAATATAGATTGATCCAATGCATATTACACTGCCAAACCAACAAAGTGCTAAGTAGTCTCTTAGATCATGATGGAGAGCAGGCTTGTTCAGTTTATTTCACCTCATAGGCTATGCCATCTCAACCAGAAGAGGCTCTGAAATTGGTTTAATTGAAAATAAATTATCCCAGAAGCGCACATTTTTACGACCTGCTTTTAATGATAGTTTAGTTAGTTTGTATCATTAGGTAATTGATTGATTTGACTTAAAATAAAAAATATTTGCTATAAAAATGAACACATACTATTAAGATAAACCAGGCTCGCAAGAACTTTGATGTGTACAACTGGCTACATTCAGACAACCCATCCTCTCTATCGTGGGATGTTTTTTTAGTGTTGGAGTAGCTTTCATTTTGTTTGGAGAGGCGAGTAGAAGGGATTCGTAAATTGGCCTCATCGGAAGCTTTAGAGGGATTGCTTTGGAGTTGTGACTGCAGATTTGGGCGAATAGGTACTAGGCGCACCGTCCTGCGACCTCGATTAATCCTTGCTGAACTTTTGTCTATCATGTGACGGACATCGTCGGAGAAGAACACCATATTTAGCGATAATTCACCATAACATGAATACAAGAAACGTTTTGGTGAGTTATCGTTGAACGTGGTGTCCTGCTCTGACTATGTCCGCCATATGATAGACGAAAGCTCAGCAAGGATTCATTGGGGTAGCAGGGTGGTGCACCGAATACCTATTCGTACAAATTACAATAACAGCTTTAAGGCACTTCTACAGCTTCCGATAAGGCCAACTTATTAATCCCTTCCACTCGCCTCTTCAAACGAAATGAAGGTTACCCAATTTTTCTACATACGAATATGTTTTTTCCTCGTGCACACGTCGAATGTGGTTGGGCTCCTATAATACTTCACTGTGAACGACAAAGGTCGATCTGGAGCTTGTTGGTCAAATCACCTATTAAAGAAAACCTTATAAAGGGCATTAATATTTCTGACATTTCATGACTTGAACATAAACAATTCCA